AAAAGTGGAGAGTGAGTCGTGGTTATACCCCCCAACCATATAAGGGGAGGTACCTTAAGGCGATATACCTATCTCCATCTTGTGAGTGCAATTTAATCCAGCGCACAATTACTATATTCTTGCTGTATTACACTATATTTTTTTCTTGTTTTCTGTATATAGTCAGCTAAACCCTCTATTTTCTATCTGGTAATATAATGAATCATGCAAGGTAACATGAAAGAGAAATATATTGAGTTGACTTGGTGAAAGAATGTGGTTTGGGTCACTTAATCTGAAAAAAAAAAAGATAATTTAGGTAGTTCAATAGTCTTTAATGCTCACTTCTCAATTGATCTGTGAATAAAATCAACAATTAGTTGCTGTCCCCTAACTATCTATCATCTTTTTTTTTACCACCAGAAATGGACAACAATGCAAATCACAAATCAAATGAACATGCTCATTCATTGTACTAGTCATTTGTTCGGTTATACTTCCAGATGGCACTTTGGAGTTAAGGAATTTGAACGATATGCTGATCGGCATATATTTGGACGAATTGCATAAGTCTAGTAATAAGTACTGTAAATAAAAATATTGTTGATAATCAATGCAGATGCATTCACAACACCAAAAGAACATCAGTGTATTAAATGTTCCTTAGATCACAATGAATATATTGCACAGAATGCTCACTGTAATGTATACAAAACAGAATAAACACAGAAATTTAGTTTTTTACCAGTAGCTATAAAACCAAAATAAAACCACACATATATCTGCAAAAAAACCTGTGGCCATTGGTGTATAATAGTTAGCCACTGAAATGGAAAAATCAATTAAAGTATTGATTATTTCTTTGTGTATCTGCCCCTGGCCAAATCAATGAAACAATGCGTGCACGCTCCCTGAAGTAATTCACACCAGACACAGGTTCTAGGTTGTTGAATAACTTGAGGAAAGTTTATTCAGAGGGGACGGCAGGTCCCTTTTAAAGCAAAATTACATCATAAGCATTGTCAGAGATAACATGGAATAATACATCAATAATTGGTCAAGTGTTAAGTGTTTTATTCAAAGCACGCCCTACAGGGTGTGCCTTCTTATGTCATTACTGTCGTCATGGAGTTCTCCCCCAGGATTCCAGCGCCATCTTGAAAATTAGAGTGTTTGGTCGATGGGTGGGGTACTCCTGAGTGACATCTAGTGGTCAGTTTAGTAATTTATTGAATAATATTAAGTATAACTAAATAGACATTTTACTAGCTAAAAATATGTCAATATTTTATGTCACCAGGTCCATGAGGGTCTCCCACGGTTTCCCGGTGCCATCTTGCTGCACGAGGTAGTTAGTCGGTGTTTAAAGGGGCAGGAAGGGGTTAGAAGCTTCTAGCAGCCATTTTGATTAAACATGTGTGCTTAACTCTATAGCATAGTGTGAGATGAGTAAATAGACATTTTCCTTTAACTAGGAAATATGTGTAGACCTTATTTCCACAACAGTCCCCCCTAAAATGGCTATTTACCATAACAACTGCTACTGTCCCTAATATATCCCTAATGATATGCTCCTAATCTATCTCAGTAGGCATCGAACACTTCACTCCGTGGGTAACCCGCAGCGGCTAATCCACTACATCTCCACACGTGAGACTCGCCCGCCAAGACAGATGCTTTCCCTATACTATCCCTACAGGAAAGCAGTTGTCTGTTTGAACTGATGTGCTTGAAGGGGTGTATGTGGTGTGTCATCTTCGAGGTCTGTGACGTCCTGATGTAGGAAAGTAGGGGTCACGTCAACTATAGTCTTATCTACTGCTTTTTGTAAGTACTTCTGTATGCAAGGGAGTACGCAACAGGTTAGAAATAAGAAAATGATGATCATTATAAGAACAGCTGTCCCTACCTGGAAGAGGGTCCTTTGCCAACCATTCATCCATCCAAACCATCTGTCCCAAGTGTCAGTGACTCCTGAATTTTTCTTTAGCTCGTCTGCAAGACTATCTAGCTTCTCTATGGCCATAGTCACCTTACCATTGGGCCCAGTGTTGTCTGGAATGTATGTGCAACATGTCATGGTCTCAGGGAGGATTTTACATACACCCCCTTTCTCAGCTAAAATCATATCTAGGGCCATTCTGTTCTGAAATGTAATTTGGGTAGTGGCTTGTAATTGCTCTGCCAGGCCCTGTAGGGCATCCCTAGTGTAGTTGACAAAGCGCTGTTGATTATAGTAAATGTAGTTAATCCAATTGACATTTTTGTTAGCAGTTATCATTGGAATTAGGGATTCAAATCCTGCAGCCACTTCATCTCTTGCTTTGTATTCTTTAGGCACCCCCCTTGGCACACCTATGGCATCAATATACACATGGGGGTCAAAGCTCCCTCGGATAGGAGCCCCTCGTTTGGTTCTAGAGTGTACATGTGTAAGGTTTAACGTGTTATGACTACCATCTGGAATAATGTGGATAGGCATTATGACTTTGGTTAGGGCACACTCCCCCCACCATTGCTCAGCTAATTGGGACCTCAATTGTCTGTCACCACATAACCAATAGATATCTCCAATGGTCTTTGCATGATTTATTAGCAGTGACACAGGTGGGCTATGGTAGGTTGAGCAATATCCAGATGGGAATCTGCCCAGATACACACCAGTATTCTTAGGTATAGCATAACATGTGTAATTACCTGGATACACGGTGACTCCATCAGGTGGCTTGACATATCCATGAGTGATTGGGTAAACCCTTTTCCATGATTCACATGTTGAGGAGTTGGTGGTGGATTGTGCATAAAGACTCAGAACACATAATTCTACTTCAGGAGGTAGGCTTAGAGGTACTGTGCCCAGATGGGGCCTGGCTCCTCCACATACATAACAGTTAGTCTTATTATGTGAGTTGGCGTTATATCTCATCCATTCTAGCCACAAATTAGTGTCTGAAAACCCAGTCTCTACTGTCATAGTGTCTTCAAAGGTGGGATTGGCTATAGCTACCATGTCATGTAGAGTCTTAATATGTGGTTTTAACGTGTTAATAGTCATGTGAGTGGTTCCTACCCAGTCTGGTGAGGTGAGCCTTTTTGCTAGGTATGTCTTTGTATATGGCTGCATATTGTGTTTGTGGAAAAGGTGCAAACAACTATGTCACAGTAATCAAAGGTGTATGTAGCTACATCTGTGTTAGAAGAATTGTACCAGAAAAGTGTAAACATGATTATCTTTGGTTATGGCCACTTGTTGGGCCCAGGTAAAGTGTAGCAGCATAAGAAAACACAAGACACATAATAAATTCATATTTCAGCAAGATTAGCCTCTTCTGGAGCAGGCACTTTTTTGCAATGTGAGGCGTGTATAAGAACTCTTCCCGGCTAGTTTAACTGACGTTGCTGTAATCAGGAGCACTTGATATGGGCCATCAAATCTTGGTTCTAGGGTGTGTTTCCTGAGAAACTTCTTGACCATAACCCAATCACCAGGAAGCAGCTTGTGTGTACCTGTATTTGACTCAGGATCTGGAATAGAAGAAAACACTTGGGCATGTATTTTGGTCAAGGCATGTGAGAGGGCAGTCACATAGTCTACCATAGCATCTGACTGAATCTGAAGCTGTTGGGGAAAGTAACAACCTAACCTGGGTGCTGTACCAAACAAAATCTCATAAGGTGATAGGCTATATTTTCCCCTAGGAGTGTACCTTACACTAAACAACGCTAATGGGAGACTCTCGGGCCAGGGCATGTTAGTTTCTTGTGACATTTGAAGCATTCTGGCTTTCAAAGTGCCATTCATGCGCTCTACCTTACCACTACTCTGTGGGTGATATGGTGTGTGGAATGCAAGGGTCACCCCCAGTGCTGGCCAGACTTCCCGTGTTAGTGAGGCAGTGAAGGAGGTCCCTTGGTCACTTTCAATTACTTCTGGAACTCCATAGCGGCAAACAATTTCTGTCAAGAGATACTTGGCTGTAGTCCTCGCGGTGAGATTAGTCACTGGGAAGGCCTCTGGCCATCCTGAAAACATGTCCACTATGACCAATGCATATTCATAACGTCCACTCTTTGGCATCTGAATGTGATCAATCTGGATCCTCTGGAAGGGGTATTGTGGTTTAGCTAGATGATTAGGTGCAGTCTTTATAATCTTTCCAGGATTGCATTTAGCACATATAGTACAAGATTTACAGTAATTCTGTGTTAAGGTAGTGATGCCTGGTGCTTCAAAATACTTGTCAATCAATGAGTTCATCAGATGTTTTGACAGGTGGGCTGGCCCATGGGCCCATTGGACCACCGCTGGATACATATTTCTGGGTAGGCAAAACTTGAGATTGATAGTGTAAACATCATCACGGAGTACAGCTCCTTTGTTCTTCCAACTTTGTTTCTCCTGGGGAGTAGCAGCAGCTCGTTGTTCCTTTAGAAGCCTAAGATCCGTAGGCAGTGTCTGCATAGTGTAGATGGGTACTGCATCTGTGGCCACTCTTCTGTCCACTTCCCATCCTTGTCGTGCTGCTTCCTTAGCGGCCTGATCAGCTAAGTGGGGAAATATCAGGGTCACAGTCTATGATGAGTGGGTCCTCATGACGTCTGTGTGGTACCTAGGGTACCCTGCTGTACAGTAGTTAATAGTCTTTTTGCTGGTCCCCATAGAAGTCAGTTGTTCTTGGTTCATTTGACTCCAGGTCTTGGCCATCGGGCCTAGGTCTTTCCATGAGGTGTCAGAGGATCTGGTGAGAGATATGTGTGGGATAGCTGTTTCCCAATGATGGTAGAGATGTGTCATGTTCTCTGGAAGATGGACTAAGATGAGCATGGTACCTGTGGGGTCCCATAACAAGTCAGTCAGGGTAATTGGAATTTCCTTGAGCTGGAATAATTCTTCCTCATAGTTCATATCAGGGCCTGGTCTGTCTTTAAACCATAAGGTGCAGTGAAGTAGGGCCTCTGATTGTTCATTATGTGGGGGTGCAAGTGCAGGCAGCTGCAAATCTGCTCAAACCTCTGGGTTGATGTCCAGGCTATACCAGTAATGCACAATTCCCCCCTTGGGAAGTGGCAGAAGAGTGGCCGGGTTCAGGGAGAGACATCGCTGAAGTTCCACATTGTCAGGTTACAGTAAGGATGTTTGTAGACGAAGGTAACGTTGAGAAGAAAGGTGCTTAGGTTGAGTTTGTTGCAGGATTGCAGTAATGTCATGAGGGGCCAACACTGTGAGGTGGTGGCCAAGAACAAAGTCATTGGTCTTGTCCAGGAGGGCGCTGGCGGCAAACACCGCTCTGAGGCAAAAGGGACTACCTCTCGCAACAGGGTCAAGCATGCAGGAAAAATAGCCAATAGGTCGTTGTCTTGATCCATGTTTCTGGGTGAGGACTCCGGAAGCATGTCCTGATTTTTCAGAGACAAACAGATTGAAAGGAAGTTGGTAGTTGGGTAGGCCCAAGGCAGGTGCAGAAGCAATAGCTCTTTTCAGATTGTGGAAACAGATGATAGTTTCTTCAGTGAGGTGAAAGGGCTCACTCCTGAGGGCATCATAGAGTGGCTGCATGAGCTTTGATGCTTCGGGTATCCAGGACCTGCAGTATGTGATAAGACCCAAGAAGGCATGAAGAGTCTGATGTGGTGCAGGTAATTGGAGTTGCAAAATAGCTTGTACACGCTGAGAAGTTAGATGTCTGGTGCCATGGGAAAGACAATGTCCCAAGAAGACCACAGAGGGCCGGCACCATTGCAGCTTGGATTTGGAAGTTTTGCAACCTGCAGCAGCGAGGAAACATAGGAGATCTTCTGAGTCACGCTCTGCAATAAGCAAATTAGGAGCACAGAGAAGGAGGTCATCAACATATTGAAGTAGAATAACATCCAGATGAGTATGGGGGTTTGGAACAATAGCAGTGTCCTTTATGGTTACTTCATTAACAGCACGGAGGTCCTGTACCATGCGGTACTGGTCGGGTTGGCCCTTAACAGTTCGCTTTTTAACAGGGAAAAGTGGGGTGTTGTATGGAGATGTGCACTTGGTGAGGGCACCTTTGGCAAGCAGAGACTCAACTTGTTTGGTGATGGTTTCAGCTTGTGGTGACTTCAGAGGATACTGAGGTCTACGAAGAGGAAGTGCTCCAGGCAGGAGCTGGACCAGGACGGGGGGGTACATGTAAGCGTCCAATATCATCCGGGCCGGTGGACCAAAGTTCTTGGGGGATACGATCCAGAGCACTGGGGGGGGGGTGTGACCCGTGCACTCCCTGTATTGTCAGTTAGGTTCAACAAGATGGGGAGTGAGCAGAGTACAGTGGTGTCTGACTGTGATAAGGGTGTAGTTAACTGGACCCTGGAGCCGAGAAGGAACATCAGCACCCAAGAGGTTAATGGGACAAGTAGAAGAAACAACAAAACGTGAGAGTATGTGTGAACCAACATGCAGGAGTGTAGGGAGGGGGCTACTGCGGGGTGTACCATCCACCCCAACACAGGAGACATCGGTGTCTGACAAAAAGGAGGGGTCATGGCAGGGGTTGCTGACACAGGCTTGCCGGTAACCTATTGCAGTAAATCTAAATGGGCCTGGTCGGGTCCTTGGTACCGGCGGGTAGAAGTGGGAGGGTGGCTGGACTGCATAGGAGCACGGGCAAGGCGGCTTTGTCGAGGTAGGGGCTGAATATCTCGGAAACCACCCGTGTCAAACCCATCAGCATGAGCTGGAGGGTATGCACGGGCCTCTAAAGCAGGGGGCCGGCTGGGATGGGCGTGATAGGTGAGTATTAAGGGTGGGAGGAGGTGGAGGAGGAGGAGGTAAATCAGTGGGAGGCGGGGCAGGAATCGCGGAATTAACCAGGGAGGTAACAGCAGAGAAGAGGGCGGATATCGAGCTAGACAGGTCATTGGCCATGGTTGAGTCAGGGGTCACCGGGGGAGGGGTCGGAGGGATGGGAACAGGGGGCTGGGTCGCAACAGCGTGGGTAGAGGGTTGGGACGGCAAATCAGTCGGGAGGGGAGGAGGCAACGAAGTAGAGGGGACCGGGATATCGGGAGGGGGTACCACTGGAGAAGGGGTTGGAGGGGTGGGAACGGGGGCCTGGGTCAGGGCGGTAAGGGCAGAGATTAGGGACGGCAAATCAGCCGAGGGAGGAGAAGAGGTTGGAGGGGTGGTAACGGGGGACTGGGTCAGGGCGGTAAGGGCAGAGATTAGGGACGGCAAATCAGCCGAGGGAGGAGAAGGGGTTGGAGGGGTGGTAACGGGGGGCTGGGTCAGGGCGGTAAGGGCAGAGATTAGGGACGGCAAATCAGCCGGGAGGGGAGGGGACAACGAGGTAGAAGGGAGGTCCGGAGGCATAAGGGAAGCGGGATCAGCGGGAGGACAAGGGTCTGGAGGATCTGGGGCGGTGGGGTGAGTAAGGTCGAGAGGGCAGAGAGCGGGGCAGCGGATGGAGACGGGTGAGTGGGTAACACTGGGGAGGGGTCGAGGTGGAGAGGGGACGAGAGGCAAGCATAGGTAAAGGTGGCGGGGGACAGGGAGGCGGAGGAATGTCATTTAACGTAAAGGATGTTACTGTAAACATACGATTTTTAACTAGCAAGATTCTATTAAGTAAAGATACAATGTTTAAAATAACTTGCATTATTTTGCAATATCCCTTGTTGCAAGACACAGGCATTAATGAATAATCATCAGGATAATTAGCTGTAATGCTCTTATATTCGTGCCCTACAGAACTCATTTGTAGGTCACACCACAGGTGCAAATGACTCTTTAGCAACCTCTTTCTTTTTTTTTTTTTTTTTAAATATCACGGACACATCTCTGATACAGGGAAACAAATGGCATGATTGTTTTAGTTAATATAACGTTTCAGTTCATAATATGTAGAGTGTAATGTCTCTAAATAGGACGAGCATGATAGGGGTAGGCCTCATGATGGAGGCAGCCATGACAGGGGCGGGGAAGGAAATGACAGCAAGGGAGGAAGTGAGGTGACGTCCATGATAGGTGTGGGAAAGGAAGACAGGAGGTGTGGGCATGGTAAGGGCGGAAGTGACGTTACTTTAGAAGCAACCGTGACTGTAGATAGGTCACGGGACTTTCAGGGTCAACCTGCTTCTGTACTAGGCGCCATCTTTAGGGTGGTGGCTGACGTACTTTCAACAATACACCATATTATAACTAATAAAATAAGTCAGAGAAGCAACATTCCGTTCTGCAAAATGAAATATTAAACTATGAACAGACCTGGCAGGTTAAATAAGACAGTTGAGAACATTATGCATTTAACAGCCCATAAAGCTATCCATTGAAAAATGTACTTTAACATGAAGCAAGATAAACTCACGGAATTCAACCAATTTCCCTTAACATCCTCTAACCATTAATCACTTTCCTCCTCTTATACAGACATAACAACATCGCATATTCCCCTTAACAAGCTACAAGCTACACCTTCCTAAATCCCGTATTCAACACTGAATGCAATCTTGTGAGCTCGTCACTCCCACAATCCTCAGTACCTTATCTCAAAAATTAATTTAAAAATATATATAGCACTACGGAATCTGTTGGCGCCATGCAAATGGCAACAATAATAATAATATTACACAATTATAGCTCCATAACCTGCCTGACAACGTCTATGTATGGAACAATGTACACAATACTACACAATTAGAATATTTTCTCTAACTCTTATCAGTAGCTCCGAAATGCAGAAATGTAGGCAAGCGGGGAGTAGGGGTGGGAGAAAGTGTGACAGTGCAAAAAGGGAGAGAGAGAAACTGCAGGCATGAAGATTAACCATGTGAGCTCCGTAAAGTAACAAGACAGAAGGACAGAGATTTATACGTTTGGAAACCAGAAATCTTTGCTAACTTTTTCATTTTCAGCATAGCTTCTTCCCCTGCCCTCTCTTTAACAATATCACAAGCCAAATACCCCTTAGCTGGTCTAGTATGTGCTTGCCCCTTTTTGACCAAGCGAGGTCTGCCAAGTAAAGGAGACCAAGTGAGAGGGAAGAAGAAGTAGGAAAGTCTACAGTGCTCGACTGACTAGTCACGATGGTCTGTGCACCCGGGGGAGGTGGCCACAGACCGGAGGGGGCGAGCGTGGGTGACTAACACAGCTCTGGGCAACAAACACAGGAGAGATAAAGGACAAATGAAAAGATGAAAGTGGTTACACTAACAAGAAGACATTTGCAAAAATCACAAACATAGAGATGAGTGTAAACCCCAGAATCCAGAACTAGCCACACTATATACATACACACACACACACACCAAGGGTACCCACACTGTAACAACAATTAAACAAAAAACCACAGAATGACAGAGAGTAAAATGGCCATGTACATGTTAATGACACCGGTGCCAAATAATCGAAGTATAGCAATCCTCAGCCTTCACCCACCAGGCTGGTCCCAGTATAACACAGGTACTAATGGGAGCACAGTAATAAACAAACAAAATCCCAGCCCCACCGGCTGTAATGCGTCCCAGCCCCACCGGCTGTAAAGTCCCAGCCCCACCGGCTGTAAAATCCCAGCCCCACCGGCTGTAAAATCCCAGCCCCACCGGCTGTAATGCGTCCCCTGCCCGCTAGGCAGTCAAGCTAACTTAAAATCCCAGCCCCACCGGCTGTAAAATCCCAGCCCCACCGGCTGTAATGCGTTCCCTGCCCGCTAGGCAGTCAAGCTAACTTAAAATCCCAGCCCCACCGGCTGTAATGCGTTCCCTGCCCGCTAGGCAGTCAAGCTATTGTCTTTTAAAAAGGGGGAAAACACACACTCCGGCCGTCACACACATTCAAACAAATACAGGAGGCAGATAGACAATCGACAGGTTCACTTTAAAAAGGTACCCCGGATGAGCTAAATACCTGTCTCTAGTAGCCTTCTGGAAGCCGGAAGTGGACTCGGAGACAGACCGACACAAAACAGGAGAATAACACAGGCAACGGCTGTATTATGGAGGTGATCAGGCTCCGCTTGTCCCATTTTCTGGGGGTCCGCTCTGGTCCTTGGTATCCGGCCCTCCGAACCGGCAAATCCGGGGGCCCCACGTTATGGGCGCCAATTGAAATGGAAAAATCAATTAAAGTATTGATTATTTCTTTGTGTATCTGCCCCTGGCCAAATCAATGAAACAATGCGTGCACGCTCCCTGAAGTAATTCACACCAGACACAGGTTCTAGGTTGTTGAATAACTTGAGGAAAGTTTATTCAGAGGGGACGGCAGGTCCCTTTTAAAGCAAAATTACATCATAAGCATTGTCAGAGATAACATGGAATAATACATCAATAATTGGTTAAGTGTTAAGTGTTTTATTCAAAGCACGTCCTACAGGGTGTGCCTTCTTATGTCATTACTGTCGTCATGGAGTTCTCCCCCAGGATTCCAGCGCCATCTTGAAAATTAGAGTGTTTGGTCGATGGGTGGGGTACTCCTGAGTGACATCTAGTGGTCAGTTTAGTAATTTATTGAATAATATTAAGTATAACTAAATAGACATTTTACTAGCTAAAAATATGTCAATATTTCATGTCACCAGGTCCATGAGGGTCTCCCACGGTTTCCCGGCGCCATCTTGCTGCACGAGGTAGTTAGTCGGTGTTTAAAGGGGCAGGGGGAGGAAGGGGTTAGAAGCTTCTAGCAGCCATTTTGATTAAACATGTGTGCTTAACTCTATAGCATAGTGTGAGATGAGTAAATAGACATTTTCCTTTAACTAGGAAATATGTGTAGACCTTATTTCCACAACAGCCACCAAGAAACATGTTGTACATTGTGTGATTCTGCACTCTATTGCATATGTCTTGATCATTTCGATTGTATTAAAAATTGTATATTTTATTTTTATGAAATGCAATAATGCAGCTCTCAAATAATGCTACATTTATACACAGTTTTTTTTTCTAGTGAGTAATTTAAGTACTGACCTGGGCTCTGCATTTACCATAAAGGAGTTTGCTGTAAACTAATTAAATTTGCTTGGTTTTCTTAGGTAATCAGTAGAAGCATTTATTTCTAAGAGCTTAGAAGTGTTTACCATGCTAAAATATCGAGAATTCAGTAAACCCTTGACAAACAAAGTATCTCTCATTCAAAATGAAAATTCAAATGAATAATAATATTAAATTTAAAGAAGTGTAGATTGAATTATCACCCAGGGAATTTTTAATGTCAAAATATTATTGACCTTTTCATAAAATGTCTCCAATGTATAAATGTTATAACTCTTGATTAGAAATCACTTGACATTTATTTGTCTATTCAAATAAATATCTTTGAATGTAACAGAGGGGATTAAATAACCCACCTGTGAAAAGAAAGTATGAGCTGTGATAAATGTCACATTTAAAATGCAATTTGTCAATACATAGCATTATGCAACTAAATATATTTTAGCTTTCAGGAAAATCTTTATCAACGCACTGATGATCATTTTAAAAACTTGCTGACATTGCCAAGGTTAGATGTCAACAAATATTGTTTGAAATATGATGCACATGTCCATAATAAATTCTTAATAAATTTGTTAATGTCATAAGGGATGGGTGCAAGGGATCAGCAACACATGATTGAAGCAGTAATATGATGAGACAAAAAAATGTTTAGTTCTACGTGATATTGTAACTGTGAATGTCATAATACTGTTTGCTTTTACTGCAATAAAATACACGTTTCCAACGTGTAAAACAGTATCCTCTATGTACAGGTTTTATGGTGTTTTGGGAAGTTGCAGGGTCAAATATAGCATGTTACATTTTTCAGTTTTTTCACATTGAAATTCGCCAGATTGGTTACGTTGCCTTCGAGACCGTATGGTAGCCCAGGAATGAGAATTACCCCAATGATGACAAACCATTTGCAAAAGTAGACAACCCAAGGTATTGCAAATGGTGTATGTCCAGTCTATTTTAGTAGCCACTTGGCTACGTAACCAATCTGACGAATTTTAATGTGAAAAAACTGAAACGCAAGCCTTATATTTGACTCTGTAACTGTTGAAACCACCATAAAATCTGTACATGACGGGTACTGTTATATTCAGGAGACTTCGCTGAACACAAATATTAGTTTTTCAAAACAGTAAAACGTATCACAACAAATTTATCCATCTGCTTTCACTCTAACGGCTGTATTGCACTGATCGCTTTTCATAGACCAGTGGGTTATTGTGCGCCCGCACGGCGTCTGCAGGTCACCATGGCAGCGCGGCAAAGTTTACTTGGGTTGCCAGGGAGATGCGCGCAACTTCATGCCGTAGTGCAGTTCGCACTGGCTGTCTATGCACATGCGCTCTGTGAACAGTAGGACGCCGATCGGGTGGCAACAACAGCTGTGGTGAGTCTATCATTCATTTACTTGTTTTACTTATAGTATATAAGACAGTTCAGTTTATATTGGTCTTATGTATGTAATTTTTGATCTTGAGGAAAGCCCAGAGTGGGGCTGAAACATCGATCTTTCTCTTTTTAATGTATATCTAAAAAAGCTATTTTGATTTTAGACGAAGACCGAGGAATGCAGTCATCACTATTGGATTTGTTATGTGCATCAGCCAGTTGACTTTGGCACCCGGCAATACGTAAGGAAAGTGTGAGTGCAAGGAACCCTTTTGTTGTTTATATATATATATATATATATATATATATATACACACACACACACAATACACAAGATCCAGCGCACTCACCTATCCACTAAACAGCAACTTCAATGTTGAAAGATTTTATTAGTTTTTTTAAAAACACCTAATCTAGGCAAAAATAATGGGGGTTTAGTTACATTATATGATCATACATTGCATACATTTTTCCATCTGGGGCTCTCTGCAGTACAAGGCTAAATGGGATGAGGCACCGGTGACAGGGAGGGGTGCAAAACCAAGGAGTTGGCTAGACTCCCAAATATATATATATATATGAAACAAGGGGGGTTGGCTGCACTCACCTGAACATGCATAAATGGGGGTGCTGCTGGGGGCCAAATAATACAATACACAAGATCCAGCACACTCACCTATCCACTAAACAGCAACTTCAATGTTGAAAGATTTTATTAGTTTTTTTGTTTTTTTTTAAACACCTAATCTAGGCAAAAATAATGGGGGTTTAGTTACATTATATGATCATACATTGCATAAGCCTGCCACAACGTCAATGTACCCCATCTTTGGCAGGTCCTACACTAACAGCCTAATGTCTGCTCTTATGAGATTAACCACTTACTTGAGGAAAAAAATCCATCTGGGGCTCTCTGCAGTACAAGGCTAAATAGGGCCCTGGGATGAGGCACCTGCGACAGGGAGGGGTGCAAAACCAAGGAGTTGGCTAGACTCCCAAGTATATATATATATATATATATATATATATATATATATGAAAAAACTAATAAACATTAGTGCGATTCTTTGCACTGTTTTGCACTTTAAATAGTATGCATTGGCACTTTCTTAAATATTTTTTGCACTACTCATCGATCAAATAGATCAACTTCACCCACAGGTGGTTTCTTATCTTATTGATACATTAGTATAACTGTATCCACATGGGTATCTTAGTCTTAATATTAATAGGATATTGTGGGTATTGGTATGGCTGGTATAGCTACAACCCTTATAACACTCTTTTATTCACTTATATTATAGTAGTTTATTACACAATATTTATCACATTATGTGAAGAACCAGGATGAAATCTAGGGAGCCTGAATATTGGTCACTAGTATTTTCAGCTTCACAATAAGGTGTTTAGTTGATATTAAGATATGGATTTTGTGGTATGGTGCACTTTAGGGTCCTGATTGGACCCGTGATAATTATTACCTCTAGTATTATATTCTATTTTCAATTTAAGTGTTAACTATGAACATGTATGCTGTAGAAGGGAGGAGAGTATGCTGACGTTCCCCAGAAAATGTTTTCTGATATATATGTATATTCTTGAGGAATGCTGGTAATCCTGCTTCCCGATCGTGGGTCAGACACTCAGACCGGGGGAACAAGCACTCTGCGCATGCGCCAGCATCTCCATGACTACCGAGAATGCTGGCATCCAGGAAGTACACTGGAAGATAAGTGATAGACGCTATCAGCGTCATGATCTCCATGGCAACGACGTCACTTGTTGATGACGTCAGCGCAACTAATGAGACGCTGAACCCCGGTGGTGCCTGTCCTGACGCTCGAGAGGAGGAGAGGCCAGCCCCTTACACACCTGAATCGTAAGTTTTTTTTTTGATTGATGTTCTTATTTAAACTAAGTTTGTTTCATTTGCTTTATGTTTGCTGTCCTGATGAAAGCTACCAAGCGGAGCTGAAACGTCGACCTTTGGAGTTAAGAACTTTTTCTTTTTTACAAAACCTGGGAATGCTGATTATTTCTGTTCTGTATATATATATATATATATATAAATATATATATATATATATATATATATATATAAATATAAATTTTAAAATACAGTTAGACGAAATTACACACAGTAAA